TATTATTATTACTATCGTCATTGTCATTATTATCATCTTTATTATCCTCATTACCTCCACCGAGTAGGTATGTTTCGGTAGCGTTGGTTAGTTAGTTTGTTCGTTGGTTAACATTGCGAAATAGGGAAGCACGGACGTCGCCAGTTGACTTCGGAAAGAGCTGATTTTAGTGTAATTCTTCAAGTTTGAATATTTTTATTGCATCAGTGACCCTATTGCCTTGGCGGAGGTATGCGCTCTCTGAGTGGTTCTTGTTATTATTATTATCATCGTTATAATTATCATATTATTTTTGTGTTTGTTGTTATCATTATTATTAATACTATCATTATTATTATCATTATTATTACTAATGCTATTATCATTATTATTATTATTTCTATTGCTGTTGTTGTTATTATTGTCATTTTCATCATTACTGTCACTATCATACGCATTGTTATCATTACTTTCATTACTATTATTATAATTCTGTTATCTATATCATTATCATTCTTATTCTTATTATTATTATATGCAGATATACAGATTATAGGGCGTAGACCCAGTAGACTTTAATATGGCTGAGTTCGGGCTCAACCGAGAACATAGATTTTCACTCAGGGAAAGATTCGTCTGCAGTAAACAGATGTAAGGTTCCAGCCTACGGCGCGCGGGCATCACCCGACCTCTGTTGCATAAGAGAAGGGTGGAAGGAAAATCGAGTTTGTGTGCCGTGTGATGTTGATGTTGGATGTGTAAAAAGGGATAACGTAGGTTGTGTCTGCGTGGACGTGTTTGGAAAAAAAAAGCAAGATCATAGAATTCTTCTTGCCTTCGGTTTGAACATCTGCCTGTTGGAAGCGGGGGAGCGGGGGCCCAGATATCAGAGTGACCAGCTGTTCAAGAGACCCGTGGCCGAGGAGTTTTAAACATTCAACCTTGGTCAGAACAGGAAAGTTAGAGGTGATAGATATGAGTCATTCATTTTTCTGACTGGGACTGAGTGAAAGCTCTGTGATGGTACGATGTTGATTTGACGAGCAAGTTGCACTCACTAGGGAGTTATACCAATTTATCACTGCGTGGGTAGTGAACATAGAAACCAACACCAAATGTACTTACAAATAAACACAAAAAAAGCATGCACTCCTAAGTTGGCGTCCCAACTCCGCAAGTGCTGTTACCAGGTCTTCAGTGTGAAAACATTGAAGTTATCATTATTATCATTTTTGTTATTATTATTATCATCATTATATATACTATCATTAATGTTATTGTCATTCTCATTATTATTATTAGAAATGTTAATGACAATAATAATAATAGTAGTAGTAGAATAATGATATTTTTACTATTGTGTTTATTATTATCCTCATTATTATTTTTTTCCATTATCATCACCATCATCATTACCATTATCATTGTTGTCATTATTACTATTATTATTATTACTATTACTATTATTATTATTATTATTATTATTATTGTTATTATTATTATTATTATTATTATTATTATTATTATTATTATTATTATTATTATCATTATCATTATCATTGCTATTAGTATTATTATTTTATCAGTATTCTATCATTATTATCATTATTTTATCAGTATTCTATCATTATTATCATTATTGTTCTCAATATCATTATCAATGACATTATTGTTATCATTATCAATATCATTAATACCCTCATTATCATTCTTATTCCTATTATCATCATTTTCATTATCATTATGATCGTCAGTATCATCTTTACTGTAATTACGATTATCATCATCAATGTCGTTATTATCATTAGTTTTTTATCATTATCATTATTATCATTGTCATCATTACTGTAATTTTATTGTTATTATCAATATTAGTTTTTCATTATAATCTATCATCATTATCATTATGAGTATTATCCTTGTTATTCCATTGCTATTATCATTATCATTATTATGAGCAGCAGTAGTAGTAGTAATACTAGTAGTAGCACTATTATCATCGTGATTATTATCATTATCATTCTAATTATCCTTCTCCTCATCAACATTTTTACTTTTATCATGACTATTATTATCATTATTACCATTATTGTTATTTTAATGTAAGTCTTGTTTTTTATAGTGAATACCTACTGCAGTCTTTCTTATAATGTTTTATGTAATGTATTTTGTATTTGTAAGATTGTATTAGATTCTAAATCACACAAACACACACACACACACACACACAAGCACATTAACACAGTGATGAATATCTGTACTATTGTGTATGTATTTGCGCGCGCGAGCGCGCGTGTGTACATGTGTGTGTGTATGCGTGCGTGCGTTTTGTATATGAGGATATATATGTGAATATACATATACTTGTATTTGTTTTTGTGTACCTTTACGTATATAAAGGCAGAGAAATAATTAGACACAGAAAACAGAGAACGAGAGACAGTGTGTGAGCAACATAGATGTTCATCTGTGAATTTACATATTCCATTTACTAGTATATCTTTACCCACATGGATAAAATTGCATTATATTAATTGCGATCAAGCTATTCCCTTGATCATTATCACCGCAGATGCTGACTCTGATAAGATGTATTCTTACGAAGGGTTTGTGTGTTCGTGGAATTTGTTAAAAATATCTGATCTTTCCATATTTTTGCTTTACATTTTTACACTGTACACTGCATGACTCCATGCGTGAAAATAATGATGAAAATCATGATGATACGAGAATTAATGATGATGATGATAAGAGTAATAATGCTAATAGTGAGGATAATATTAATGATAAGAGTAATAATCATGATAATGATAAGAATAATAATGACGATAAAAGTAATGATAATGATAATGATGATAAAAGTAATGATAATGATAATGATGATAAAAGTAATAATGATAATAATGATGGTCAAAGTAATAATGATAATAATGAGAGAAATAAGAGAAATAAAGAAGAATTGGTTACCGTCTCGCACTCCCTCGTAAGGCTTGGTCGGTGCTGTCTTTCGAAAGATTTTTCCTGCAAAACATTGAAGCTAAAAATAGGAACTTATATAAGTTAGTAAATAGCATGTATTTCATATTTCAGGATGTGCCAGAGTGTAGCTTTATCTAAACCATTATTTTGCGAAATATTTGCAAAACAAAATATTGTAAGAAATAGCAATATATGTAATTAGCACGAACTTTATCATTATCATTATCTAATTTATTATTATTGGTTATTGCATTGCATAACTTATTCCGAAGAGAGAGATTATTGTTATATTGTCAAACACTAAAGCATAAGTAGATGGACACACACACACACACACACACACACACACACACACACACACACAGACACACACCACACACACACACACACACACACACACACACACACACACACACACACACACACACACACACACACACACACACACACAGACACACACACACACACACACAGACACAGACACACACACACACACACACGCACGCACACACGAGCTTTTGTTTGTCGTAAGATATTAAACTTTATTAAAAAATACAGAACCTGAGATGCACTGGGAAAAGGCTGTCCCTGAAAATATATATATATTTCACTCTTTTGACTGAGGTATATAAAAGTTATAAATAATTACACCGGGTCTTGAATGAATTTATTAAATCATTCTATATTTTTCTATTTCAATTTGCATTTTTATACATCTTTTCATTTAGATATAAATCAATTATCGCTGAACCTTTTATCATTGGATTAATATATGTACTTCTTAAAGGAAGATCCAAATAGTATAGAAGTCTTCGGAAAGTTACAGAGATTGTAAATAATGTAAATCTGGTTGAGAAGCACAAATGGAAGTTTCTGGGAATTTCTAGAGGCCCTGATGTTGAAGGGACTGTCCTTAGTAGGCAATCCAAGGGCTCCCTCATTTACAGGTACTTTTCTAGAGCACTTAATTTGCAGGTGGCGTCTTTAGTCCCTCATTAGCAGGTGATTTTCTAGTCACAAGCAGGTAAATTTCCAGGCTCCGATGATTTAATTATTTTCTAGAGCCCCTCATCAATGTGCAATTTTCTAGTCCCTCATTTACAGGTAATTAACATGCAATTCTCTAGGGCCATTGATTCGAAAGAAGAAAACATTTAGGGGCCCTAATTAGCAAGCATTTTCTAGGGCCCCTATTCAGAAACGGGAACCTTTGTAAGTATTTATCTAGAGCTTATAATCCAGAGGAAAAAGTCCAGGGCCCTCTATTTGCTACAGAAACAAGATTTTCCAGGACCCCGACTTTTGGGGGACCTTAATCACCCGCCAGTTTTCAGGGGCCCTTAGAAAAGAAAAAGTTCTAGGGCCCTCCTCTGCTAAGAGCCGAGCATGGTTAGGGGCAGAGGCGGTCCATAAAAGTTCGATTCCTTGACGAATCGTCTGAAAACAGGTGTCCATGGCCGCCTGAACAAACGAGGAACACCATACCCGACGACATTCATGCTTATATGGTGTTCAGTGAAGTGGGTTGGAATAGCTTAGGATAGAGGAAAACATGTCATAGGAATTCTATACTTTCTGGACTGAACACCGTCAGGTTTATGTCACATTAACTAGATGACCAGTAAACTTTTTCTGCACTAACTTTTCCAAATTTGTTAACTTTCTCCCTTTCTTTTTCATAAATACACTTTTCCTTAATGATGGAAAAACATCCGACTGATTCTTATATAATATTCGGACCGATTTCAAGTTCCGTTTTCTTTCACTTGCAGTGTTTTCTTTCGTCAAAAACATCAAGATACAATATGAATTGACAATGACATATACACATAATACATATTTCCATTATATGTTAAATCAAACGTCTGTTTTTTTTTCTATGCACGTTTTCAAGTTACATAGGTTTTAAAAAATCTGTCGCTTGTTTCAATAATAAGAAAATGACATCGACTTTTAACCCCTCGTATTTCATGGACACTAACACCTATGCTAATCTTTCCGGGTTCGCGCTAAGTCTACCCAATACAATACGCTTTTGTGTA